TTATTATTATTATTTGGCCTTCTCAATTTTTCAAACAGTCCCACTCTGATGGACTCGTTGCTCGTGGGGCTTCAGAATCGGAGTTCATGACTTACTAATTGTGCTCACACACCCACAGTGAAAGTCCAGTGAAAATGTTACAGAAGTGACGTCACCCCCTTGAGATTTACTGTAGAATTCAGCCATGGCAGAAGAGTCTTTTGGGCCAGTGGAGTTCACAGCTATAGCTATTTTGGATATGGTGCCCTGTCTGCTCTGAACCCACTTTGCGTATACAGTATTGCCCATGAGAAACCATTTTGAAAAAAACATTTTAAGGATAAAATTCTTGACCTTTTCATTATTTTCATAAAGCAATAATTCAAACACATTTGTGGTCTCAAAAAAAGTTCACCTCAGTTATGTAACTATTAAGACACTTCTGTAGCCTCAACTAGATTTTAGGATCTTTAATGAACAATTTTCCCCTCATTTTTGATAATACCTATTGTTAAAAATTTGAACATATCACACTGGTATGCACAATTTTTAGCTTTTATTAAAATATGAAACGCGGCTTAACTGAGTAGAGCCTTTTACACAACCATTTTCCCAAGGGCTCTTCTCTCATGCTTCATTTTCAACATGTTATGCAGCCAGGATCATTTTCTCCATAATTACGCATGTGTGTCTGGTTTCATGACATTCAAACTTGTCACTAAATGTAATTCAAGTTTCATTACCCAGATTTATATTCTCTTCACCTGATGCAATCCCTGATCATTTTGAACAACCATTCTTTTAGCCAGAGCGTCATCATTATTCACAACCATGTCAACACACACCTGCCTCCTGCTCTGACTTTGTTTCTAGTTTGTTTAGACACAGGTTCACACTCATTGAAAGTTGTTCAATCAGGTTTACTGAAAAAAACCCAACATATAGATATACACACGTTTTTACACAAATGGTATTGAAATTTCAATTACAATTTCCACAAGAGGTGTTTTAAAAGCATTTAGTTCTCCTTGTCCAAAGTCTGTCTGTATTTTAAAACTATCTTTAAAAAGTGTAAATGCATATGTTCATTTTTTCATGTCACAAGGAGGTCACAAAGCATTGAAAAATCTAAGGCTGAGACAAATTAAGCAAATACATGGTATTTGCCCATACCGGGGGGGACCTGCGGCTGGAAGGTTGCTGGTTCGAATCCCACCGCCGGCAGAGGAATCGTACCCGTTGGGCCCCTGAGCTCCAACTGCTCCAGGGGCGCTGTATAAATGGCTGACCTTGCGTTTTGACCCCAAGCTTCTGTCTGTGTCTGTGTGTCTGTGTGTCTCATGGAGAGCAAGTT